GACAACAGGAGATGGACTTTTTCACTGGAGGAAGCGTTATTATGGATTATGGACTCTATGGTATTTTAGTTAAAACGTCTTAATGCTGGATTAGTTTCAGCTTTTGTCTTCTCCAGATGTTAACTGATGGACTGGAGTGGTGTGGATTACTTGTGGATTATTGTGATGTTTTTATCAGCTGTTTGGACTCTCATTCTGACGGCACCCATTCACTGCAGAGCATCCATTGCTGAGGCAGTGATATACATTTTCAGCAACTTTTCATTTTTGGCTGAACTATTCCTTTAATTGCACTATATAAGTCACTTTGGAATACAAGCTGCAGCACATTTCAAATGCTAAAAAACTTGACTTATATTTTGGAAAACACAGTAAGTATCTGGAACTTATTTTGACTGTCAGGTGAAGAAAAAAAGTAGGCTAGAAATAGCACACCTCTCCTCAGCAAGCCCAAACACCACCTGATCTTTCCTCTAAACCCAAGAAAGGAACGGCATATTTCAATTCCACAAGGAACTAATGAGAAAAATGGGTTGTTGTTGATGTTGTTTTGCTGATTTGATTTTGTGTGGCTTTTTTGCACTTCTGTATTGCATTTAGTTTTATAAGGAATCCAAAGTAATGCTTCCTATTCCTATTATTTTAAATGTTCATAGGCTCCTATTGTGTTTTAGTTTCCTTATTATTCCTCAGCTTCCTCCACTGGAGTCAATGTGACAAAAAGTAGTACAATTTGATTGGGAAGGGTCTGAGAAGTCTTGTTTGACATTTCAGGTAAAACTAATTAAAAAACAAAAGTCTTGTCTAATGAATCATTCACACACGAAATATATCAATGTAGTGTATAAAATACAGTATTGTTTCAATTATGAACATTAGAAGTCCTGTTCATCTATTTTATTTTACAGCAGCTTCCCAAACCCGGAGGATTCTGATAATTTCCATTTGCACTTTTATTTCATCATTAGTTTTTCTAAAGCAATGCTATCCAGTGTTTAGCTACATTATGCATCTTCCGGCCCAAACAGCTCCATCCGCTCAATGTATGTTTTCATAGGAACTGAAGGATCTTTTATGGCAGAAGATCAAATTCAAAGCAAGCACTTAGTGGAAATCAATACACTAAAAATATGTTTATTCTTTCTAGATCAATTAACTGGTCACACACATTATATTTAAAAGATTCTGTGTATTTGTAGACGGAGTAAGTGAGAAAGCGATCTCTTGAAAGTGAATTAGGCCACATTAATCTCCACTAGTTTGTTTGTGCAGACAGTAGGCTTGACTTATTGACACGAAGGGTCCTCGCTGAGTTGAATACACATTTATGTATTGTTTCAGCATGTCATATCAATCAGAGAATGAAATTCAAATAAAGGCTCTTCGTTAAAGAAGCATATGTTTGATCAATGGATTCAGTTTTCTAACACGCTGTGGTCTTTATCATACGTGAGCTGATCAAACTCAGCATCAGGTCTGAGTTCCTAATAATCAAGCGCAAAAAATAAATCCGCAATATTGATAATAAACTCTTGAGTAAGTTCAATATTTAGCCTTCACATGCAGGCAATCAGGTGCGTGTCGCTATAGAAGTCTGTACGCAAGTCACTGATTATTTTAATTATTATCATTATTATTATTATTTATACAAATCAAAATCTTTCTTCATTCATGTTTTAATTTCTAAACACGGATGAAGAAAATTTTTTTTTTTATATTAATAATTAGTATAATAAAGCCATGGTTAGTATAATTAATAATTAGTAGCATATTAATTAATTGTTATATTTTCTAGTGATTACACTTTAAGAGATCAATTAAATTGTCAATTTGCACTAAATCATACAACACATAATTCAGATAAAATAAAACTAAAAACACATTAATGGGGGGATAAAATGAAACATGCAATATTTTCTATAGATTAAAAGATTAAATTTCTTCATTTTAGGAATTCATTTAATTAGACACATTTTTTGATGATGAATTTGCAGTAAATCATACAACAGAATCTGAAAAAATAAAACGTATTTAAAAAAATAAATAAAAAGCATTTAACTGGGCCAGAATTAAAAGGTAGCTTAATCTGTGGAGTTTAAACAAACAACTTAGATTTATATTAATTCTTGAGGTCCAGCAAACATGTGGAATCCATTTGCAATATTTTATTTTTATTTAAGAAGTACCATATAACACAGATATTCTTTCATCCATGTTTTAATTTATACAGAATGCAAGTTCTGTGGTGCAGGACCTTTTTTCACATTTATTTATGCACATTGTTATATTTTCTTTTGCTTACATTTTTAAAATGATGGTTTCATTTTATGAATTAATCTCATTAGACACCATTTTTAATGATGAATTGGCACTAAATCATACTGAATCCTGATTACACACAACAGAAAACAGTTTGGGGAAAAACAAATTAACCAAAATTAAAAGGTAGCTTAGTCTGTGGAGTTTATTTGTCAACAAACAACTTACATTTTTATTCAGTCTTGAGGACTAACAAACACGTGGAAAGCATTTCCTTCTGTATTAATGGTATGAAATGAATATTGTGAGAAATACTGATAGCGAATGATATTGTGATAACATTTTGGTCTTGGCATCAATACTAGAACTGAAACACTGCAGAAGGTAGACTGCTCACTTTAGTGTTGGTTTCAGGAGTCTGTGTGTCGTGTTGTGTTTTCTCCAAGCGGCAACCTCCCGCTCTCTCTCGTCCCGCTCCGCCCACTTTGAGCTTCAAAAACGCTCTTCGGAAACCTACGGGTGACGTCACGGACACTACGTCCATGTTTTTGTACAGTCTATGGTTTTCTCACCTGATCGTCCACCTCAAAGTCACTGTTGTGCTGAGACACGTCCTTCAGCGGCGGCTTCTCCAGACTGCGGCACAGGAGCCACGTGACCAGACCCACCACGAACATGCCGATGTCCGGGATGAACACTCGGATGCCGTTCCCGGCGTCTGCACCTCGGACACTGCGGCGAGATACACACACATAAACAGTACAGTTATTAAAGAGAGCGTGCAAAGTTCTCCCAGTTCTCCATTGCTCGGGTAACCCTGCAGTCCCATCTTTGACACACACACCGCCGGTGGAGCCAGAAGTTGACATGACGGACCGCTCATGTTTTGATAGCACCACAGAGCCTCAGTGTTTACACTCTTTGGGAAGTCATGGTTTACTTACAGGTGTCTCTGTATATTAAACTGGGATAGGAGGAAATATTTTAACATAAAAAATTACACAAGATAAATGTAATTTACAGTAGAAGTAAATTAAAACTGTGTCCGTTCATCTTGAGCTCAATATTTAGATTTTTTTGCACCCTCAGATTCCAGATTTTCAAATAGCTGTATCTTGACCAAATATTGTCGTATCATAACAAACCATACATCAATGGAAAGCTTATTTATTCAGCTTTCAGATGATGTATAAATCTCAATTTCGGAATTGAGACTTAAGACTGGTTTTGTGGTCCAGGGTCACATTTAAGATGAATTTAAGATGAATTTTACGAGTGCTCTTAGTGCAACAATGAGCTGCCTCTTAAAAACACACAAAAACACTCTGTTCTGCAATAAAAGCCTGCGACTCCCAGTATCCTCGCTCACAGCGCTGGCCCGTCTGGATCTCATTTCCGCACTCGGCCCGAGTCGAGAGAGATTTTTCATGAAACCAACCCATTCAAGCCTCAGGACAACATCACTTCAGAGAGCGGCCCGTCTCCCTGCTGAAAACTGAAACGCCACTTGTTTCATACTCGCACGTCCATAGCGCTCATTTTCAGATCTTTAAAGGTTTACGCAGCAGACGTCTGCACAACTCTGGAAGCCCAGCGCTTTTCAGAAGCTGTTCGAGAGTCTCATCAGACGATCATTTCAATAGACCAAGTGCAAAAAGCGTGAACACAACCATAAGCATATTTTGAAGATATCTTGTAAAATATATGCACTGAGGTTTGGAAAATACGGCAAATTCTGAAAACTCAACTTGCTCTAATGTACAGTATAATATAAGTGCTACTTGATTATTAAACAACAACAACAAATGTATGTGTATTTTAACATTATATCACAGTGTACTGCTAGTTAGAAGCAATTCAATCATTTAACTGTAATAGGTTGACTTAATTAAGTTTCCCAAACAGGTAACAATAAATCATAATAATGGATCATATTTTTTAAGCAGAAGAGATTATGGGTATCCTTAAATGTAGAACAGACTGGATATTTTTTCTATTTTGTTGGTTTACAACATAAAATGACCCAGCCTGCACTGATTTCAAAGCAAAATCCAGACCCTTACAAAAATTAACCATGGCTTTAATAATAATAAAAATAAATAAATAATTAATTTAAAAAAAAATAATACAAAATTTTAATAAAAACTGGTTATTGTAGTTAACCATGGATTTAATAAAAAAAAGGTCATATTAAACCACAGTAACCACAAATTAACCATGGTTTTAATTAAAAAATAAATAAATAATAATAATTAATAAAAAAAAAAAATCGTTATTGTAGTTAAACCACGGTAACCACAAATTAACCATGGTTTTGCTACACTAACCATAGTTTAACCATGGTGTTTATAAAAATATATAGTTTAGTCATTAAACTCTAGATGGCGCAGGCTGATGGGTTGTTAATGTAACGAATAATATTCAGAGAGTTAAACGACTTGGCACAAGCTGATTGGTTCATGCTGCATATGCAGCCAATGAGCTTACTGCCTTGCATTTATATGGCTGGCTAGCATTCACTTGAGATTCCTGCAGCACGCTTTCAGAGTTTCTCTGAAACCCTCCACCTTCCCCAGCTCCACCTGTATAGATCTGCTACGGGGTTATTTTATATGCTATTTGTGCAGCAGCAGTATGTCTTAAATACTCATGGCACAGTATCGCTGTATGCATTGGCAGTAGCAAGTTCCTGTACTTGCTTGCAGCAGCAGCAATAATCTACAACTACAGCAATAACCAACAGCAGATATTCTGTTGGTATAAACACCTATACATCATATTTTACTTGATTTGTGAATGACAGTTTGCAATCTGTATCGAATGTGATAAGATAAAACACCATAACCCAAAAATAATGTTAAGATGATACGACTTTTATCGAGTTGTACACAAAAACAACACACAGCGCGAGCGTAGTGTGATTCACGAACAAATGACTCTTATGAGCCGGTTCTTTTAAGTGAATCACAAATTTACCGCTTTAGACTGACCCACAATAAAATGACTCGTGTATCGTTAGTTCTTTTAATGAATCGTTCAAAAAGAGTGAGCGGTTTGAATCAATCCGATAGATTCAACTAAATCGATGTCCGTCGGTGATGTCTGTCGTGAAATGAAGTTTTGTGTATGTAGGGTTTATAAAAATATTATTACCGACTTATTCTTCATAGGACAACAGCGTGTAGTTATGTGCCGGATATCCGGTCAAATAGCATGCAAAGATGCTACAAGTTAAAATTTAGTAACTTTTTACCCTAAAAAATATTTTAGGGTACTTTGTCTAATTTCATCCTGCCAACGACAACCATTTAATATTATTTATTATAATTATGTACTATGAATTACTGAAGCGACACCAAGCAACACAGAAGTGGTGTTAGTTTCCTGAATGAATCAGTATTTTGAACAAATCATTTGAGTTAATGATTCAATGAATCACTCATAAAAAAACAGTCACTTGCTGCCACCTACTGGTCTGACGGTGTAATCTCCAAGATTCACTGAAACTCCCCATCAATAAATAATAATAATAGTAATAATAATTTACTCTGTTTGCTCTTAAATACAATATACGGAGATAAAGGGAGAATATTCATTCTACAAATGGTAAAATTGTCAGCTGAAAAAGCTACTTTTGCCTTGCTGTCAATTGCATAACACCACACATAAATGTTTGGGTAGACTCAAGACAAGATCCTTGCGTTCAAAGCAAAGCTTCCCTGACTAGCCTCCATGCAATGGCTTTGAAGTGTGTGATATTTGCTTCATAAACCGTAATAAGTGGCAGACGTTATGGTTAACGTGCCGAAAACAGCCCAAGTGTGATTGGCTCATGGCGCAGATGCACTTTGTAATGACGTCCGCTGTATCTAAACAGTTTACATTGCTCAGAGAGGCCTTTCATCTCGGCGAGCTCATAAAGAGAAAACTGTGAGCAGACACAACTAAAGACAAAGGAGGAGGGCCACAGATGGCACTGATTTGGGTAAAAGCAATGAATTATGGGAACCAGCGAAAGCAAACCTTTAGTTTCACTGCTGGACACTGAACGAGCAATTAAGCGATTAAATTAGATTCAAGAACAAACTGAGATGCTGATGTTCATGGATTGGTGGTGAGGTTAGGGTCAAGATAGAGTTTAGTTTTAATGAGTGCCGCTGAACACAGAGGAGGAATGTGGGCTGACGCTGGCTGGCGTTTCACCAGGTGTCTCAGCAGGAGTCGGCGGATCCCACAGACCCAAACGCAGCCAAATAGACATTACCTTCGCCTTCCCCGGGTGAGCGGCTCAACTCCAATGCTGAAATACCAGTCAAATGGAGCAGAGATCAGCTGCTTCCAGAGCAGCCAACGAGAAACTGTCCAAACAAACTCAAGCAAAACAAACCCAATAGAGCCCGATTCCAGCAAAAGCCTGCCAGGGCAAAAACCTCTTTCTGATGCATTAGATACGGCAAAAAGCATGCACAAATATTGCTATAAAATTAAACTGCAGCAAGTCATGGATTTCAAGGGACAGGGCTGTAAGCTTTAGAAACAAAACTCTTTTGTTCTCTGGATTATGAAAAATTAAACTGCTTCATTATCCAGAACATGTTCTGTAAGCTTCAACAGTGCAGGGAAAAAAATTTATTATATATATTTATTTAATGTATTTATATATGGAAAATAAGACAATATATAAGGCACAATATATAATACACATAATCAGTGCATAAATAATTACAGTGTAGCAAAATGTAATGCAATGGTGTTTAACTTCATTCAACAGTATTTTAACATTGTTGCAGTAGTTTGGGAAGGAAGTGTCTGTGTTTCAGCATGACAGTGACCCTTTGAACAAAAGGAAGTCCATAAATCTTTAACGGAGTCTGCTGTGGAAGAACTCGACTGGCCTGCAGAAAGCCCAGACCTGAACCCCAAGAAACACTTTTGGGGTGAACTGAAACACTTTACCTATTGTTTTCAGTTTGTATATTTTATGCAGTGTTCTAATTTTCTGTTGCCAAGATTAATCAATAAACACCAAATGCATGGATTGAGTTCACACTTTTACCATTTTGACATAATTTTAATGGCAGGCCAAATGCTATTTTCTTGATTAGGTTAACCTCAAATTTTTATATTTATTTGAATTAAAATCATAAAAATATTGCAAACAATGAAAAATGTATACCAGCATTGTTGATGCATAATTAATATACTCCTTGACACGATGTTGATGAAGATCAGCATAGTTGACAGAATTCTTGTGCACAAGAGTAAAATGAAATATTTTCTTATTTGAAAGAAAATTGTATTTAAACTGAAGCATACTGAAAAACATGCATTCTCTTAGTGTGTAAAATAAGATATTTCTTGAGAAAATTGTTAGAAAAAAAAATTAGTTATTAACAACGGACATGAAATGTACGCTAAAATATAGACTGAAACATCCTTATGTCTGCATTTTAAGTGTCATAATCTGTTTTGCAGGGACAGAAAATATTACAGATATCGGGAGCGTCATGACGAGTCTTCACGTATTGTGCTGAATTAACTAAACTAAACTAAACACATTGCAAAGGTCCAGCAGGCCATCTGCTTGTTGAGTAATCCAATCTCATCTCTCAGTAAGATCCGTAATAGGAAACATCTGTCATCATGCTTACAAAAGACTTACTTTTCAGCAGCGTAGGACGGCTATGTGCTACAACAAGGCCTTCTGTGATGCATGATGGGATACAGAACGG